TGCCTAGCGCCTGCGAAATTCAGGGGCCTACGAAAAACTTGGGAGAAAAAAATTTGTTGACAAAAATAAAACGTGACTAACATTTTATTAAAATAATATTAAATAATTTTTTTTCTATTAGTAAACACTTAACCTGCCTTGCAAATTTATTTATAAATAATTTCAAAAGATTTACTTTTGACAATGTTAATTTCCTTCACTTAGTTATCATAGTCATGAAATCATGATATCATGAATCATGATATCATGAATCATGATATCATGAATCATGATATCATGAAAACTATGAAGCTATTTGTAGTATAAATATTTCTTGTAATTAATCTCACTATCAATTTCACTGTTTTCTTTGCTGATTTGTTGTTGTATTGTTGACGTGAAGTGTTTACATAGTTATCGATCGAACTAATCATAATGGTATTATCGATATCAACTGCAATATCGGCAGTATGTCGGTATTGCAGATAAAGTTCGATAAACAAATTTGTAAATTAAAATCCATATTAATAAAAATGTAAAAAAAAATATGCAAGAAAATTTTAGCATATATTTTGAAAAGAGGGGAGGAGTGGGGGAAGGAGGGGGGGCCCAAAAGCGGCTATGCCTAGGGCCTACGAAAGGTATAATCCGGCTCTGTCAGCGGGTCAAAATAGTTGGGGGGGAAATGCAATTGTTAATGTCTATTAGCAATGGTTTAAACAATTACTTTTAATTATAAGTTACTATTACTATATTGTAAATCAAGGGTTTCCAACTTACATGAGGCCGGGTCAATTAAAAACACCAGTCAAATGGCGGACGGCAACTTTATCAAAATTTTATATAGGACTCTTTTATGTTTGAAGGGACATTAAATATTGCTGTCAGATTTTTATCTAGTTCTGCAAAACAAAAGTATTGGATTAAAAATTAAAATAAGAGGTAGATTTTTGAAAAAATTTAATTACATATTAAAAAATTCNTTAAAATTTTATATAGGACTCTTTTATGCTTGAAGGAACATTAAATATTACTGTCAGATTTTTATCTAGTTGTGCAAAACAAAAGTATTGAATTACAAATTAAAATAATAAGTAGATTTTTGAAAATATTTATTTGGATATTAAAAAGTTCTGGCTACAATAACTTTAATGTGCAAAATGTTCAATGAGAAAATTGAGGTTCGTATGCTGCAACCACCAGAGAATTGATATTTACATTTTAAATTTAAAATTTACAGATATAAATAATTTTGTACGAAATGAGTGGCTTCAAAATGTTAAATCGGAGAATTTCTTCGAGAAAATTTCCGATACCCACATGCTAAATTATATTCACAAAATACAAAAAAAACGAAATAAAAAAGAGCAACANAAAAAAAAAAGAAACACGAAATAAAAAAGAGCAACACACATGATTATTTTTGTATTTAAGAATTTTCTTGGAAACAAAACCTGAGAAATAAATTTTTTTGCACCGCTGGTATGTTAAATTTCATAGAAATGAAGAAATTAGTTTTTTTTAAACGAGAAAAGTATTTTAAACCCATATGGAATTTTTACGAAAATTGTCCGCAAAAAAAATGACAAATAATATATTTTAGTTTGCGGGCCGCCAGTTGGTAACCACTGTAGTAAACTATTGCTAAAAATACAATAGTAATGTCCGCAGGAAAAATAGAACTTGGCATCTATGCAATTTCAGTTAAACCAATGTAAGTTGTGGGTTAACAATTAAATTGTTCTATTAGACAAGTAGTCACTTCATGAAAGGGAATTAAATTGTTTTAGTCAGTTAAGATCATCTAAGATAGATGGTCAAATTAAAAGTTTTCGCTGCATTGAAAACATCAAAGCTCCGACTATATTCCACATAACACTTTCATTTTTATTGTCAACACTCTATGATATTTAATAACAGCGAATTCACTTGTAAGCCTCGGTTATAATTTCTTATCATAATAATTCTAAAAATAGTTTCCTATCTAAATCATAAGTTCAACTTCCTTTCTGAATTTTGGAGAGGAGATAGCAGACAAACACATACATTATCTTTTAAGAAAAGAAAAAAAAAAGAGAGAAAAGTACGTCTTTGAAAACGTAAATAAAACCCAGGAAGCTGAAAATCGTTAACTTACCCTTAGTTTGTTGACATTTCAAGCAAGTTAAAATCATGCGTAATTATACTGAAAGGATCGAAATTTCTGAATTTGATGCGTATTTAATGAGTTCACGACCTCAGGTTGTAATTAAAAAACAGTATAAATGCGACTTTGATATTTCTTTCTTTATATCATTTATGAAAAAGTTTTAACTAAATGTTTTTCAGCACTTTATAGAATCGTGTATAAGAATTTATAAAATGGGTTTATCAAGAGAATTATAGTGAACTTTTTCTATTTTTAAAATAAAATAAAAAATCTTATTTTAAAACTGGTTTTCAAAGGGAAAAAAAAATTGGAGATACAATTTTTCTATAGTTTCCCTTATTAATTGCTGAATTTGATGCGTATTTAATGAGTTCACGACCTCAGGTAGTAATTAAAAAACATGATGAATAAGACTTTGATATTTCTTTCTTTATATCGTTTGGGAAAAAGTTTTAACCAAATGTTTTTCAGCATTTTATAAAATCGTGAATAAGAATTTTTTTAAAAAAATGGCTTTATCAAGAAAATTATGGTGAACTTTTTCCGTTTTTAAAATAAAATAAAAAAATTTTATTTTAAAACTGGTTTTCAAAGGAGAGAAAAAAATTATAGATAAATTTTTCTATAGTTTCCCTTATTCTAAGATACTATTTTAGCGGTACCTCAGCAATTATTCTGAGCAGTTGTCAGGAGAATACAATTCTTGCATGTTTTGCCATAAAAAAAAAAGCTTGTCTTGTATTATTTTACACATCTAAATTTGCTATCCATGTATTTTTTACTCGAAATTGATTAAGATCAAACATAAGTCAATTCTAAAATTGCAAACGTTTTTATGTTTAAAAAACATATAATTTTTTTCTTGTAATTATTTTATTTTATAACCGCCGTTGAACAGCCGACCCAATTTTCGGGTCTTGAAATTATTTACACTTTTTTTCTAAACTATTTATCAACATAATTTGGTCTCATTTGCTTCAACGGGGGCTGGGGGGAGAAGATACATCCGCACAAAAACAGTACCTCATATATATGACTATAGTGTAAATAAAACAGTACTTTTTAAGCACAAAAATTCTTTCAACTTCTGAACTATTGACTCGTTTTTCATCTTATTTGATTCAGACAAAATACATAATACTTTATATGTTTTCGAGGTAGCCATTTAAAATGGTTTTACTACTAACCGTCTAGTATTTATTCTTATTCGATTCAGCAGGATAAAAAAAGGGAAACAATATCGCCTTTGTTTAGATAATATTATTCAAGTTTCTTCCTTCATTCACACCCTCCCTGCAAAACCTGACGCACGCAATAGTGCAACTTTTTACCATTTACTAAGAGGAAAGTACTTAACGTTTCTTTGCTGGGTAAAACTTTTCTTGGTAACATATTTAAATCCTATTTTTGCTGTACTTATTAGTATTTACGGGATATCGCACTGATATGTTTAATGATAATTTTGAATTGTAGAATCTTTTTAAAACAATTTTGAGAAATTTTCGGTTTCCATTTTGAATGAGGGGAAAAAATAATTTCTAGACTTACCATTGCCGACCGAAAAATATTAAATAATATTAATTTAGAAAAAATTCTTCTATGTTGATTTTATGTACAGTGAATATATAATCGTTAATGTTATGATAAAGCATACTGTTTTAGATATGCAGTTATAACACTCGGGTTTTCGAGAAAAGCGCGTTTCAAGTTTGTGAAGATCAAGTCAAGTATATGTACGCTTTTTTTTTTTTTTTTTATAAATTTAATTTTGTCCCTTTATGAAAATATTCATTATCATTAACGACAAATTATTCTGTTAAATTATGTAAAAATAGAAAAAGATGAATCATTAAAAAAAAAAAACTTTTAACTTGGTACCATATTTTTTGTTGTTGTTGTTGTTTCTTTCAGGAACCATGCGATACATTTCAAAAAATTTATTCTCATGAGAAAAATTAAATTTCAAAAGAGCGAAAATTATGCACGATGAAAATAAAAAAAAATGTTCTTAGCTATTATATGGGCAGCTGTCAGAAACAAAACGCAATTATTACATATTTTTTGCTATACATTCATCAAATTATCATCAAATATTTTGAACGTTTTGAAAAAATACTTGAAATTTATTTGAATAGAAAATATTCACTTGATATTTATTGAATGAAATAGCTCTAAATATGAACTGTAAAGATTTTAAACCTTCATGGCAGTGCATTTTTTAAACTGAATTAAAAATTCAAGAAATTAAACAAAAAAATTAATTATCGAACTAAAGCTTTAAAAAAAAACTTGATGCAAAATTAAATACTTCAATGTATTTACAAAAAAGAAGAAAAAAAAGTTTTAGAAAGAATAAGTTATGTTACGAGTTGGATATCGTCTGTACTTGTTCAGTAATATATATATGTATAAAACACCATAAAAAAATTTATTTATGTGAATTTATAAAGAAAATGGGATATGATTTAAATTTATTTCTGTATTCAATAATATCCGCAAAAAATTTAAAACCTTAATTTTTTTATTTATTTAGTTAAATAATGGACCGTAACAAAAAAAAACACATTTTGTATTACACATTTCGTTAATTTTTTCGTGCTAGGTGTGATCGGCCTACTTTATGAAAACCTGTATTGAGTGAGTGAAGGACGAAGTTTATTTCTGACGGATTGAAGCAGAAACCCTGTTCTGTTGCGGTGTGTTGTCTGAAATCAGCTGATCCGCTACCTACCCATAATCCATTGTAATATTTTCATCTGACGTCACGTACAGTTTACAAGCAGCAAACGAGGTTCTGAGTTCTATGACAAATGCAGCTATTAGTTAATTGTCTTTATCTTCTAAAAATCGATAAAGTAATTGCTAATTTTTCTGTATTACTGATCACTTAGAATTAAATCATATCGTTTCTGTAAATTTTCTATGAAAATAGTGTTTTAGCATTTTTTGACGCTTGTTCTTGTTTACGTCTTCCATTTCAGACAATGTTTGCCAACAATGATGTAAATTAACAGATGGCTCAATATTATCAATTTTATTTGCATAGGTTTACTTACTTTCAAAATGAATATTTCGTCACGATTTGAATCTGTATGTCATAAATTTTCAATTTTAAGAGTTTCTTCTTATTTATGTTTCTTTGTTTCCTTCACCCTTTTGTGCGCAGTTCAGGAGTAAAATATTAAGAAACCTGCTCATTACTTTTTAATCTGTTTCCTAAAATAATTCAAGAAATAAATGATCTATTTGATTGTTAATTTTGCCCTTTTGCTGTTTCATAAAAGTAATATTAATCCTAAATTCATTTTTCAAAAAATTATTAAATGTTTATTCATACCATAGGTATAAAATGTTATTGAACATAAGGTTAATTTTATCTTGAATTTTCAAAATGTTTTTTAATTATTTCTTAACTATAAATTAAGCATTTTTAAAGTTATTTATTCTCTCGTTATTAATTATATTGGTTATTTAATAGAACAACTACTGAAAACCATCGAAAATGTATGGACAGAAATAATCTATAAATACTTATTTATTTGTGTGTTTAGTTTATTAATGTTTAATTTTTGTGTTGGAAATTATTAATGATCTATTGTAATCAATATTTTATTTTATATGAAAGTCTACATTAACTTATTATAATATACTTCACTGGATTCAAAATTGTATGTTTTTTTTTTTTTTTTCATTTTAAATATTTTTATTTTTCATATCTGAAATACTTAATTTATTTGAGTTTTGAAATTGCTGATAATATTTGAGACTAATAACCATTATTATAGACTAGCCTAATAACCAAACCATAGACTAATAACCAAAATTATATTTTGTTAGGACAATTTCTTGTCCAGTAAGAAAAATGAGTAGCTGTGAAATTTATAAATTAATGTCTCATTTTAATAAATATTAATGTTCACTTTTTTAATACTAGATTTTTCTTCTAATTTTGATCTTTTTATAATTAGTAAATATATAATTTTTTAAGAATTTTATAATTGGATTATAATAATGGTTTTATTATCCAAAGATGAAACATATTGTTTTTTAAACTGTAAGATGCATTTTGTATTTAATTTAATCTGTGTTTTATTAATATATTTATTTGATTTTTATTTTTTTAGTACAGTCAACTTAATATTGTGAGACATTTATTTTTCATGCTTTTCTGAATTGTCCATTAAGCATTGAAATATTTTCTCTTCCAAATAATATGCAAGTATAAGAATAAGAGGTATTATTTTTAAAACTATTTGTAATATTAAGGACTTTTAAAATATTGTTTTTAATAATGAAATAGTTTTTTTTTATTAAATTATTATATTAATTTAGTTTTTTTTAAATTAATTTATCCAAGCATACTGGTTTTTTAACTTGAAAATGTATTTTGTATATAATTCAATCTGAAATTTATTGACTTATTTATTAGTTTTTTATCATTTAGTACAGCTGACTTAATATTAAGTGAATTTATGTTTATACTTTTCTGAATTGCTCTTCCAACAGTGAAAATTTAATTGAAAGCATTGAAAATTTAATTTTTGAAATATTTTTGCTCCCAAATAATATGCAATTATAAGAATGAGGAGTTTTATTTAATACGTAATTATATATGGAGTTTTAAGATGTTTTCAATAATGAAATAGTTTTTTTTTATTAATTTTCTTCTAAAGTTTAAACTAGTTATTATAATTTCTTTGACTAAAGAATCATAATAAAGCTATAATCTATAATATTCTACTGAAAAATAAATTATCTATGCTAATTATCAAACAAAAGCAAATCAAAATTTTTATTACAATATCAATAAAATAAATTAGTTGAGTTTGTTTTGCTAGTTATAATATTTTATTTGTTTGTCTTTTATTTGCACTTAAATTATTTATTTTTGCAGTTGATTTGAATCATCGTTTAAATCCTTTGGTTATTATGAATTAATTACTTGATAAAGGAATACAAAAAATCACCATTCTTGGTAAGGACATCAAGTTATATTAAACTTATGTATTAACTTCATCTTTCAATACATGGTTTAAGTTTTTTTTTAAAACTTAGATTTATTACTCAGAATGTATGTCTTATTTTTTAGATTTCAAACAATTTTTATCACTTTGATACAGAATTTAAGTGAATTCGGAAAGATTTTTCCATTTGTCTCTAATTGATAAGATCATAAAATTCTAGTATATTGTATGAGGAAATACATCAAAGACTAAAAATTACGGCTCGTAATCTCGCTCATCAACATCATATGTATTTAAGCAATATATATATATATATTTTATTAAAGTAAATTTATTTTATAACTTGCTTAATTTCAACTTCATTACCTAAATCTTCATTCAAAAATGTTTGGATCATTGTATTAAATATTTAATTTTAATGTTATAAAAATTAATTTTTCTTTTCAGATAATTACGGTGTTTAATTAGTTGCATTGAACTAATCTAATACCAAGTTTAGTTCAAAGTAAGAGTAAAATTATTACAAATGAATGGATACCAATCATAATATGAAGTAGTAATCTAACTTCTCATTTTGTTCAATTTTTTTCTGAAACAACAACATAACGCAACATAAGAGGTTTATTTAGAATATGGAAAGGTTAAAAATACAGTTGATTCTCGACAATCAAGTCTAATCAGCTGTCTAATTTGGCTAAAGTGTAGGCAAGATAACAGTGTAACTGAATAGGCCAAAGTTCAATTTTATATTGCTTAACATAGGTGGGTGCACAACATGCAACCCACTTTCAAAACACAATTTTTTAAATATTTTTTTTTGAAAAATAAAAGAAAATGTAGAACATTTTGAATCTCCCAATTGAGTTAACAATTTTTGATGTGCTCAACTTGCACGGGCTCTATTGTAAATCTATGTTGCTTATCAATCGTTTTTTCAATGGTTATTTCTACAAAATTCTGCATGGTTTTAAAAATCTCAATATTTTCAATACGATATTCTGATGCGACGAATTTACTAATAATTTTTCGACTTGCTTTATTTTTGTCGATTCATTGTAAATCCAAGCCATGTTTCGATTGTTTTTTTGGCATTTAAAAGTACCATGTGTTTTTAAAATCCCAATATATTTATATTATGACTCTTTTAAACATGTGTTAATTTGTATCATTCTCATATTCATCCTCTTATAATCCTGCTGTTAGAAAATCATGTATTTTTCATGTTAACGCATTAACGCCTGAATTTATTTGCTGTGATGCAACAAAGCTCCTATTTGAAAAGTTATTTTTTTAACTAAATGAATATGTCCTTCGGATAGCTATTATTTGCTTTTTAAAAGAATAAAAAACGTTTGCTTGATGTAAAGAAGAATTTTCATCAAATTTTATAATTCATGTGACGTTTATGCCATACTAGGGTCAACATATTTAATTAAACCGGGTTTAAATTGAAAAACTGTAAAGAGGAGAAACATTTACACTGATTTACTAAAAGATCATTGGCTGAAGCATTGCAATAATAATAACTTTTAAATTACAATTAGGCACTGCATAAATATCGGTATATTTGTCAACTTTTCACACCTCCAAAATTTTATGAGAACTTGGAAGTAGACTTAAAAACTGGTAATAAATTCATGGACATTTGTTGCTCATGAAATGTTGATGCCATATAAATAATGTGATATGAATAACTTTGTATCAATATACCCCTTTAAAAATCTATTTTTAATAAGTTATATGCAATTAATTTTGCCTTTTCCTTCATATTTTCTTAACATGTATGTATTTTAGAAGAACTTTAAATTACATTCAAAAGAAAAATAAGAATAAAAAAAAGTAAAGATAATTTATTCACAATTATTGCTAAATATATAACGTAATGAAAACTTTAAAAACATACCATAAAGCTACTAATTTAGTGAATCTAGAACATAATCTGTGTCACATTCAATAATTGTTATGCATCGTTATTTGAGAGCAAATGTATCATATTCTGTGAAAACAGTGTGAAATATTTTTCTCTGCAAAAAATTTTTTTTAAGTTTTAGAATTCCATTTTTTTAATTTTAATATTTTTTATATTAGGCTTTCTCAGCGGTTGACTTATATGCCCGACATACCAGAAATTTGCAATGTTTTAATCAAAAATAGTGGATTGACTCATACACCGAGATAAACAGTAGTTTAGATTAATTGAAAAAAGTCCTTTTCATTGATATTCTTAAACTCTCTGAGCATTAATTCCAGCTTTTTAACTCCTCAGTTGCTAAATTTCCTTAATGAAATAAACTGTTTCACTCATGTTATTCAATAATAAAGTGTCTAGTAAGGAAATTTCAATACAATTTTGCAGTTAGGCTCAATGCTCAGAGAGTTACAGTTAGTTTTGATAATGCAAATGTTGTTTGAATTCATAATTTTTATTTTTTGTAGCTATAACTTGGAGACCTCTTGATATGGGTGGTGCAGTCAGTGCCGGTGAAGATAATGATGAACTTATTGATAATCTTGTAAATGGAGAATACATTAAGACATATGTAATTGAAAAAGCTTTCCGCGCTGTTGATCGGGGAAAATATTTTCTGGAAGAATGCCGGGAGAATGCTTATCGAGATCTAGCATGGAAGAATGGAAATATTCATTTATCTGCCCCTTGCATTTATTCAGAAGTAATGGAGTCATTGAAATTGGGTCCTGGTTTGTCTTTTTTGAATCTTGGAAGTGGTACTGGCTATCTTAGCACCATGGCTGGACTTTTATTAGGTAAAGTAGGCCGAAAAAATAGACTCTTCAACACATTTTATTTTATTTTGTTTAAAAAGATTTGCACAATGATTTTACTGTGATAAACTTTGTGTTTCTCCAGAAGTATTTATTTGATTTCTACTACCTGAAAAAAATCTCTTGGGAACTTATCTTCACACAAGTCCAGCTTCAAAGATTGCAAAAATGCTTTAGAATTACCTATATTCTTATCATTATTCTCTTTGCCTTTTTACATTTTTTGTCCAGGTTAATTTTAGTCATGTTGTTAATTTTGTCACATTGTTATTGATTTTGTTATCTTAAATAATGTATATAATGAAGTATTACCCTTACGTGCACTATAGTTGTCTATAGCTCTTGCGCTATACATTTCATGATTACAAGAAAAGTTTATCATAAAAATTATCCTTCAGTCCAATATTATTGGATTAAAAGAATACAGATAAAAATGTCATGTATTTTGTATTGACTTGAGCTTGTATTTTACTTTAAAAAATTAAGTTTCTAATCTATATTTCTATGTAGGCTGTTCAATAAGTAATAAGACTAAAATTATAAAAAATACAGAATACCTTCAATCATCATCATTTACATGGTCTTTTTCAAAATAACTACCTTGGCACATAATGCATTTATCCCAACTTTTTGCCCACTTCTTAAAAACATGGAGAAGTCCGTTTTTTGAGAGTGTTTTAAAAACCGTCTCCGCAGCCTTTACACATGATTTATTGCTTGGAAAATTTTTGCCTCGTAATGGCTTCTTAATCTTAGAAAACAGCCAGAAATCGGATGGAGCGAGATCAGGACTGTATGGAGGGTGTGGTAAAATCTCTATGTTGCTCTGCTGCAAAACATCCTGTACGCAACGAGCAATATGTGGTCGGGCATTGTCATGGTGCAATCGGAAGCCATTCCGGAGCAATGGACGTTTCCTTTGAACGTGCTGTACCATTGTTCGTAGCACATTCGTGTAGTATGAGTCATTTACGGTATTACCGGGTTCGACAGCGTGTTGATACACAATTCCTTCATAATAATAAAAAACTATGATCATAACTTTAACAACCAATTTCACAGTTTTTACTTTCTTGGGAGTAGGCGAAGACGTATGCTTCCATTCACTGCTTTGTTGTTTCATGGTCGAGTTATAGTGGTACAACCAAGCTTCGTCTGCTGTGATGATGCGCTTTAAGAAATTGTCGCCTTCTTGTTCCACTCTTTCTTTCCATTCTGTACACACATCCACTCGATGCTGCATTTTCTGAGGTGTCAACAATTTCGGAATCCATCATGTGCAAACACGTTTCAGTTGCAAATGTTCGTCCATGATTAAGTGAACACTTCCTATAGAAATATTCAGGAGAGCATGCAGCTGACATACTGTCATTCTGTGGTGTGTTAGCCGCAGATGTGTTAATCATTGTCTCTGTGATAGACGTGGAAGGTCACCCTCACGTTCAATATCTTCCACATTTTGCCTGCCTTCCTTGAAAACTTTATGCCAGCAAAAAATACTTGCCCGCGAGATTGCTTCATTTTTTAAAGCTTCGCGTATCTTGTGAAAGGTTTCTGATGCTGATTTTTGCTGACAAACAAAAAATTTAATAGCATATAACGTTGCTCATAACGTTGTTCCATCGATGCTTGCATTTCAGCAACTGGCCACATCTTGTAGGTGCCCACAAACACGCTTCATTTCAACCACGTGATACTCAACAACATGAGTCTGCACAAGCCATCTATTGGTAGCTTTTGCTAACACAAACAACAAACTTTTTTTATGCCTCAGAAATCATGATTCCGATGAGTAGTTTCGTGACAGTAAAAGTAGTCTTATTATTTATTGAACAGCCTCGTATATAAAAAAATGTTTATTCCAATCTCTTTAACTCATGAATATTCAATTAATCCAAGCACAGTAATAATTAAAAATTATTTATGGAATAATTGTTAAGAAATTTATTTAATTAGGTACATTTTTCTTACTTTCTAAGGAATGAGCCTAATTCACTTACATTTTCTTATTTTTTGAGCTTGAAAGCTCATAAAGCAGATTTGCTTAAAAAGTCTCTAGGAAAGCATTATTTGTTCGTTTTGAAATATTGTGAATGACTTGTTTGTTATGTCAAGAAAGTTCATTTTGATCAGGCTTGACAGTTAAAAGTAAACTTCATTAGTTTTTGTTAAGTATAATTACTTATTAAATTGTTCTCCTTAATATTTTTATTCAGACTTTATGTTGTAATTAATAAGCTGTTAGTGATAAAAATTTGGTTTTTTGTCTTGCACTTAACATGTTTCTAAGATTTAATTCTTGTTTTAAAGATTAAGATATAATTTTTGTTTTATGATTGTAATTTTTGAAAAATCCCTAAATTTTACTCAGTTGATCTAGAAGATTAACATAATTCATAAAGTCTACATTAATGCAAGAATGTATGTATATATATTTATATACACTACCCTACAATAAAGGAGGAGACACTTTCAGTTTATGACATTTTTTTAAATTTCTCAAGAAATGCTTAAAAGATTATTTTCTAACTTTAGAGATGTTTTACTTCATGCAATTTTTCATACTTAGCAATAAAATTTAAAGCTTTCAGAGGTTTGAGAGACGTACAATAAATTACGAAGGAAAACAAATATTTTTGAACACCCTATGCCAGAAAATAAAGCAATAAACTTGTAACTTACTATTACTTTAATTCTTATTTTTAATAACTGTAGTTTCCTGAACCTAGAGTAAATATTTATGGAGATATGGACATTTTTATAAAATATTAATTTTTTCGCCCTACATATTTTCATTATAACTTTATAGATATCCAATGGAATTAAACAAAATTTTTGCTGCAATTTAAGATTAATTGCAAAATCGTCGATTTAAAATTTTAAAATAATTCGCGAAAAACTGCATAACTTTTGAGTATTTAAGCTAGTTCTTTTATACTACGTATGCACTGAAAAAATTTTAAAAAGTTTTTTTCATAATTTTGTTGTGAATCATATTTGGAAATAAGTAAAAAAATATTTGATTTGAATGTCTTAAAAATGTTAAAAGTTTCAAGCAATTTTCTAAGTAGTTTTTGTACTTTTCAAAAGAAAGTTTAAAACGATGAGGGGTTGTTCCCAAAAGTTTATTTTATATCACAAACAAAATTTAATAACAAATGATTATACCTTACAATAATCGTATGGAAACTAAACTTGGATGGTATGAAGAAAAAAACATACTTTTATTAGGGGTGATCCCCGACAATGCCGGTCTCATTTTTAATAAATTTTGTTTAATAGTACAAGATGAAATTTGGGGATAACCCCTTATTGTTTTTAGCTTTCTTTTAAAAAAGTATACAAACTACTTAGAAAATTGGTTGAAACTTTTAAAATTTTTAAGATATTCAAATAAAGCTTTTTATCATTTGTTGCGATTTGTACGATTTCCTACAAAATTATGAAAAAAGTTTTCAAAATTTTTTCTGTGCATGCACAGTATAAAAGAACTAGCTTAAATACTCACGTCTTGAAGAGTTTGTAACGAATTTTATTTCAAGAGACATTCTGTTAACAATAGTAATAATTGATGTATATATATGCATACATACGTATACATTTTTGATTTTATTTTATACAAGTTTATTAAGTATCTGCTTTCTTTTAGGACCTTACGGAACAAACCATGGTGTTGAATTACATCAAAGTAATGTTGAGTATGCAAGGAATATTTTAGACGAGTTTCAGTCTTACTCTCCAGCTTTGGACAAATATGATTTTTGCCCACCTTCTTTTGTTGTGGGAAACTGTTTACTTTTGGATTCCTCTGCTCCTCAGTATGACAGGGTATACTGTGGTGCCTCTTGCCCTACTGAACATGAGAATTTTATCAAGAATTTAGTGAGAGTGGGTGGGATTTTAGTAATGCCTATAAATGATAGTGTAAGTATTTCAATGATTTTCGAATTAAGGTATTCATGTGCACCAAATCTGTAAGCTTTTTTTCTTTTCTTATCAACCTCAGCATTCCATAATTTTATCTCTAGTTTGTAATAGTTTTATATTTTTTTAATTGAAATTTTAATTTTTTAGTTTTAAAGCAAGCATTTTTGAATTAAGTTTTTAGTATCCAAACTTCTTTAACCCCTTGCCTGCCATGGGCATATCTATACGCTTTGCTAAGCCGATGCATTAACTACCCCTGGTGTATATCTACGCCTTTGTGAAGTGTGCAATGCGCCTGCCATGTTCTGCTATCAGTGAAACTACTCCCACAGCTTTGGAGTGCAAAATAATGATCTTGAGAGTGTTTTCAAAGGATTTTACACAGGAGGGGGGGGGTTAAATTGAAAAGTGTGCCTCTTTTTGTCTAATACACCCCAAAACTATGCACACTCTATAGAAGTTGGTGGCACTATGAGGGTGAATTGCGAAATTTTCCTCGGCAGGAAGGGGTTAATTTAATAATATCCTTTAGTTGTTGCTTAGTTTAAGGCTTATAAAGTTATGTGTCTTGCAATGCTTTGTTAAAATATTGTTTTTTAGTATGTTTTGTTTTTATTGTATATCTTCAGCTTTGTGTAAATAATTGAACTGAGTGCTTTTTTTGTTTTTGTTTTTTTTGTTTTTTTTTAACATGAGGTTGTTATATTGTGAGTACATAAATATGTTGTAAATATTTACTTATAACTAAAAAATACGAGACTTATTTTAACAAAGCAATGTTTGACTTTTATATAAATTAGGTAATTAATTAGAATAATAAAACAACTTTTTTATGTTATTGTGAACTTTAAAATATTCTTTAAAATAGTAGTTTTATTGGTGAAAAATGCAATAAAAATAATATGCTTGTTTGTGGCATTACAATAACTTTGTGTCTATGAAAGAGCAAGCAGAACTTAATGTAACTATCATTATAATGGAAGCATCGTTGTACTAATGGGTGTAGACTGCGCTTATTTTTTAACTACTTGCATTTATTTTGCCTTATACACTCTGAACCTTATTCTTTAATACCTGTATTAGATATGCCTGAAAAATTAGTAATCATAAAATTATATTTATTCCTAAAATTTTTCACGAAATGATAGGAATTATACAATCCAGCAGCAATTTTAAATATTAACATCAGTTTATTAATGATAAAATAATAGGTAATATACCTAACTCATTATATATAAGTCAAATGTCGTAAAAGGCATAATAAGTAAAAGGCAGTGCATTTTACCAAGCAGAGTTCAGCCTTTATGTATGAAAAAGAAATGTCGATATTCATTCTTAACTCTTATATGCATTGCTGCTTTCAATAGGATGTATAGGTTTAATCAGAGTTCTGTCAAAATGCCAGACAATTTTGATCGCTAGACTACTGTGATATTAGTATCTCCTAAGTGAAATGAGTACCAATTGCAAAGCAATGCAAACGGATCTACAAAAATACTTGAAAAGGAACTGTGAAAATCGGTTGCTCTGGAATGATAGCAAGTAGGGTTATTTAAATTTAATGGTTTCGGAGCTGTTTAATATATGTTCCAGAGAAATTATTTCAAAATTCAGGACCAACCCTAGATGTTGCTATTTAATAACTTTCTTCTTCTTCTAGATTATTGTTTGAATATTACTTTAGCGATAAAGGGCACTGAGTAAAAAGGTAAATTACATAAATATTAATTAAATATATTATATAGTGTTTTAGTTAGATGCACATTTGAACTCTTCTCTGTCAAACAATTTATATATAGTGTGCAAAAGGTAGGGTACCATAACCTATACTATGATAAGTACTGTAGTCTGCAATATTACATCCTTTTGTGATCACTTTTAAATTTTTTTTTCAATTGTAAGTTTAAAAATTTTATAAGGAACTTTATTTTAAAATATAAATTCTTTCAATTTATAAGGAATCTAGATATATCTAGAATGTTTTTTACATAGATGTACTCAAACCCCTTAAGTATCTTTCTTCCTCTTATTTTTTTCATTTCTTCCTATTATACTACTTTTGCTTTTTATATTTGTCTTTGTTGAAAATACTGTTTGTTTTCGTAACCTCACATACATAATGATGTTCGTGTCGATCACAGCATCAGCTTACGGGAAAATTCTGAATCTAATCAATCTGAAACCACAATGTTATTATTAAAGAAACATAGAATGTACGATTGATTAGTAATAGGGTAAAACGAAACATTTTTACAGAAATTGTTTGAAATATTATACCTTTTTTGAATTTCTGTTTTACGATGTATATAAATATAATTCTTTCCTTTTAAGCTTATGCAAATAGTCAGAACTTCAGAAACAACTTTTGATGTGAGAAATGTATTACCTGTTTCCTTTGCATCTTTAGTAGTTCCTACTGTTGATGATGGTATATTAACTTCTGTTAAACTTCGTAAGTATACTTCATGGATTAAAAGTTTCTTGTCTGTAAAACTTAAAGCAGTCATGCACTTTTTTATTTGGATCATAAACACTACCTCAATAATTACTATCAAGATAGTGTTTCTTAAAAACACTATCTTGGTATCACAATTTTTTAAACAATTATGTTACCCTCTGTTGTGTATGTTCGAAAGTGTTTGAATAGAAAATTAAGTTACCTGAAGCAGTAGACAATTTGCACTCTAGTGAAATTTACAATGTAAATCACTAAAATTACTTTTCGTTAAAAGTGTATAGAGAAATAAATCTTACTAATTATATAAAGTACTAATCTTACTAATATATAATTACTAATATATAATTACTAATATATAAAGTACTAATATATAAGCACTAATCTTACTAATTATATATTAATACTAAATTATATAAAGTTACTATGGACATGGTAACAGGCAGGAAAAAGGGAAACTGCAATTTAATTTTCTTGGACAGGTTCAGTTGAAAAAAAACGAGATGTTTATATAAAACTGAAAAATGTAATTTGATCTTACCATTAAAAAAATTGACTGTTAATTGTATCTGTCAATCGGCAAGTTAATTGTATATGTCAATTTGTATCTGAAATATCAAAAGCTATTACACAGCCATTGTTTTTAAAATTCTAATTTCTATGTATCTACATTTATTAAAAGGATAAAGTAAATTAATTTGAATGCATAAAAATGTTTTTTGTTTATTGCAGTGAATTAAATTTACGGAACACACTGTTTGAAAATGTTATATATAACAAGAGGTCACTTAAAAATTTCGTCATACTTCTTAGAGAGTTAGTACACATCATCAGAATTAAAATTGTATATGAACCCATGCTCGAAAATGTCATTGTGGCTAGTGCACTCCTATTATGACCTGTACAAGCCATAATAGAGACATGCAGTTTATAATAGGGAAGCACCACTAGCAGGATATGTCTACATTTCTGAGAATAAGTTCCTATAAAATTTTAATAATTTTTAAGTAAAAAAAATGTTTCTCCCCCTGAAAGTCTCCCCTAAAGTCATAACATTTATGTGACCCCTGTTATATCTAACGTTTTTTTGTTAAAAAATGGACTAGAAATGTTATTAAAAAAAAAAGAACTAGTTTGGATAGAGAAACCTATCACAGATTTGAAATCCATGATACATAATATTAGATCAATTACAAAATCTCATGCAACAGGAAACAAAAAAAATTTTTTCGCCTGTTTAATTTGACTTAGTGATAGAAAAAAGGATAGGAACTTATTTGATAACCCATGCATGTTTCTTTATTAATTTTCATCTTTAGAATTGGAAAAAAATATCAGATTGTAGATGCTGATTTTCGATTTAAAGGAACTGTGAATTCATTGAAAGTATTATAAGCAATTCTTAAAATTCATTGTCCGATTTTTAAATTTTAAAATTTTTTTTAGCTGAGAAAAGTCCTCTGCTCTTGCAAGAAATTTGCAGAACTGCAATTCGAGTGATTTTGCGTCAGACGGTTGAAGTGGAAAATCCATTTCTAACAGAAAAGAGAGTCATCAAAAAAAGCAAGCATAAAAAGAATAGGAGGTTCTTCAGAAGGATTGTCATCCCATTTATTGAAGAAGCCAGGGCTGAAACCCCAGAACCTCCTGCTGTTGACAGAAGGGAAGAGGATTTAGCTTCAAATGATGAGGACATACAAGTAGCTGGTACAAGTGAAGACAAAAATGCTGAAGAAGTTGATTCTGACAACTCTGCTCATGCAAATAACCCAGGCACTCAGAAAATATTTTTAGAGTTTGACTATCAGGATTGCAACCCAGAACTGGCAGATGCCGGAAACGATAAAAACGAGGAAGTCGATGTCGAGATGAGGCAGGAGGAAAATGGAGAGTGCAGCAGTGCCTGTAAAAGTGGCAGGCGTCGAACATTGACTGCAAATGGCGACAGTGGTATTGACAATATCAGTGATGATTCTTTACCAGAAGAGTGTGTTTCAGATAGTGATAAATTTGAAGACGACGAGTCTCCCGATCCAACTGCTGAAAGAAACAGCGATGGAAGGCCTGGTAATTCCAGTTATCTGAAAAGAAGTGCTGAAGAAAATGCGGAAGAGGATTTAGCAGTGATTTCGGACAATGTTGCCCCCAGACGAAGATACCCACATTGCAGAGGTTCCTCTGTCATTTTCAAAAGAGTCGCTTTCAGTGATCCCGACAGCGACGAACTAGAAGAAATCGATAGTGATTCCGACACTAATGAAAATTTACCTAGATATGATGAGAAGAGCTACTTGTCTAGATACACACACTTTCTGAAACAAAAAATAAATCAGCTACCTATACCTCATCCACTTAAAATATATTTGAACTTATCCAGGCCTGTATAAAGAAACAATTGAAGAGTTAACTGCAATAAGGATGTTTCTCCAAGTTTTCACATATTCAGAGAATGATTAACAGTGTTTGTCTTTTCAAAGTTTTAAGTTATAAGAAATTATTGTTTTTAATTAACTTTCAAAATCATTTTAAATATTAGAATAAGAAATTCCTGACCCAAATTTCAACAAGCAATAAGTACTAACAAAAACTAAGACAACCCCACAGCGTCACATGAAAAATTTCTTGCTTGTTTTAATGTTAGAATATAGGAAAATCAGGATGTAACTCGTGAAATTATGCAATGCATAAAAACATGGTAAAACTTGAAAATAATTGAAGCAATACAAAAACTCTTTACAATTTTGTCTTAGTATTTTGTTGCTAATTATACAAAAATTGTTACTTAGGTGTTACCTGTTTGATCAGGCCTTATTTTTTTTTATTATGTATTGCAAATAAGGCCCTATAAATCATCTGACAAAAATGCTACGATTTTTTAAAATTATACAGATTAATTGAAAATAGCCAGAAAACAACTGAAAAATAAAATTGTACTCAAAAATATGCATTTTATTTATTTTAATGACTTTATAAAATTTTTTCAAATATTAAAGTAAGCAGATCTGTTTTTTGGGGTGGGTGATCGCGTAGGGCCACCAAAATTTGGTTAGTGGTTATATTACAAGCTTATTTTTTTTTACATTTATTAAATCTTGGATTTATTTTTAATATTCATACGAGTTCTTTAATTCCAAATGTGTTTAATTTCATTTCAATGTCCTTTTACATCAGTAATGCAATTTTTAAAATGACATGAATTGAACTTTTATGTCATAGAAATGAATTGTATTGAAAATTTCAACTATTGCTGATTTTTGAGTATGTGTGTGTGTAACGGAGGACAACCCCTGAGAACTGCAGCGGAAAATATCAAGAAAAATAAAAAAACTATTCTTGCGAGTTGGCATAATTTAAACATACTTAATTTTAAAAAAATCATTGATTTAAATCGCATGATTTTCTTTTAAATCATAGATTTATGTGGAAAATATTATTTATACAGTACTGATTTATATAATATATTATACTTAAGACAGTAATAATAAACAATTGATATCAAATCTCATTGATAATAAATGTTATATTGATAGAATTGAGGAATAAGTTAATAAATAAGGAAAAGAAATTTCTTTTTTTTATTCAAGAGCTTGAATGTAGATAAGAGTGTAACTTTTAATTCTTCATTGTTCATTTTATATTTTAAATTGCTCATTGTGTTATGTAAAATATAATTTGCTGTTTTATTATCAATAAAAATATATTTCGATTATACCCATTTAGATTTATGCACATGCAGGACTGCCAACTTTCTAGGCGCTTTGGGAAATTTTCTTCTAGTGAAGTTTATGCTTTGATATATGATTCTTTGTTTTGCAAATCTGATTTTAAGGTTTATTTTCCACACCACTACATGTAAATGACTCAGATTTTCATATAAAACGTCACTTTTTCCCCCAGCTTTCTCACAGAAAGTTGAAATGTTGAAAAATATACCCAAAATTCAAAACGTTTTTGTCTACCACTCTAATAAGTTAATTTGCAAAAAGCGTAGTAATTGACAGCCCTTCACATTTTTTCCAATACAAGTCATTCGAAAATTTATTAAATAGTAGTACGGGTATCTACTTATAAATAAAGAATAAAGATTTGTTCTGCCAAAAATAATTTATTTTTATAAATGCTTTATGATCTAAATTTAAATTAATTTACTACTTTTCATTCGACAAATTGATTTTCTGTCTTTGCAATTCATTAATGTTTTGAATTTGATAAAAAATGACTTCATTTCTTCAGTAATTAGTTCATAATATTATCCCTTTTTTATTAGTGGTATTAAGAACTTTAGTTACAGTTATGTTAAATAATATTAAGTATTTATGCATTTTGCCAGATCGTTAAAAGAGAACAGAATTTTTAAAAAATAAATCTAATGATTAATATTTTATTTTATAACTAGTTAAACAGCTGACCTAATTCTGATTCTAAAACTATCAATGTTCGGTAGCCTTTTAATTTTGAACCCAACCCAGATGTCGAAAGCATCCTGGGATCAAGAATTGGGACAAACTAGCCTTCGTGGAGGACCTTATAATAGAACTAACCCATATTTGCATTATAATATTTTTTGTCAGCGTGAGCCAGGAGCAGTATCAAGCTGACACCGCTGGGATTTGAACCTGGTCACCACAATGGAAGGCAAGCTCCCTATTAACAGAACCACCTTTGTTAAATGCTTGAAATGTACTTTGTTTAAAAATTAAATTGATATTTGACGATTATGGTAACAATTGTAAATTATGCGGTTTTCCAAATCACTGCATAATTTGTAGGATTATAATTATAAATGATCAGGCAATTACTTACCCTTATTCTCTGCTAATTCTTACTCAGTTCGTTAAAAATATATGATCCATTAAATTTTTTTGGTGCTGGTGGGATTAAGGCGTTAATATGTATTATAAATTATTAGACAATTATCATTAAACCTTATTATCTCCTATGTGACTAATTTTTAAAAAAATCTTCCGAATAATGTTATGCATATGTGATTATTGGAGATATCATTTCATTGTCACAAGATGTAAATTCTCTGTATTTCTTAAGAAACTAGTTATCAAGTTTTTCATAAAAATATATTAACTATCATAATAATTTATTTAAACATCAATTGAAGTGTAACATGTTTTTGTTATTATTACATTTCTAATTTTTTTATTATGTTAACTGTTATATAATTATGTGTATTTTGAGAACAAATACGTCGAATAACATTTTTTGGTCATCAATGGAGTGGTTTTTTTCTTTTTTTGAAAAAAAAATAAAATGGAGATAGATCCTTTTTGCAGTAAACCCTTCAATTGAGCTTGTTAAATGCTGTATTAGTTTTCAAGATTCAATTCTCAATGTTCAACAAAGAGTGAAAAAGAATATTTTATTGTTGAATTCATTTTATAATTGTATCCATTTTTTTGTTATTTTATGAAAGTTTTAACTATTATTTAATGTGAGCATTAAACAGAGTTGATAAATGTTATTGTTCTTTTGTTGTTGTTATTTTATAGTTATTTATACTTTAGAATATGATCATCTACATTTTATCATTATGAATTGATCTGGGATATTGTTGTGTATTGTATTGTTTTATATTTTGAATTTGAAATGTGATCATCTATATTTTATTATTATGAATTGAAATTGAATATTGCTGTTTTGTTCTGTTCCATGTTTTGATCTTAAGATTAGAATTGTATTAAAATCTTGTTAAATTTAAAAGAGAATTTTTTTTATATAGTATTTAGTTGTTATTACAGATCAAAAATCTTCTTTGTAGGGTGTTATTGTTTGTAACTAATTATAAGTGAAACTTAAATAGAGCTTTTGATTTAGTTTATATTTTCTTATGCATACTATTTATAATGATTTTAAAACAATACGTTTGAATATATTTAAAGAGAACAAAAAAAATATCTTTTCGATTTAGTAAAATATTTTTATTTTAAAAATTTTACAACAATAAATATTTAATTTCTTATCAACCATTTTGGTTTAGAAAATTTTTTAATTAAATCTCTGAGCACGAAAATTTTCTTGAAATTGCAAACATTTTAATGTCAGTCGCACTTTTGCACATTAATAACCTCATTTCTAAATTGCAATTTTCCAACCATGTGCTTTTGCTTAAAATGCCAGATTTAATTCATCTAATATTGTGTGTCACAAATTTTAATGATCATAAATTAATAATAATGTATGATATATTAAATAATTTAGTTTTCAAAACAAATTATTACTTGAACACTAGTTTAAAAACAGAATTTAATATAGAGTTTATTACTTTTTAGGAGATTTTTATATTTATATATTTTTCACTTATGCATTTGAATTATATATATAATGAAAAAAGAAAACAAATCTAGACAGTTTTATAACAATGAGTTTTATCTCAATTGTTATTTATTTATTGTAAATATTAATGCCCAAATTATTATCAATAAAAGCGTTTTTGTGAGAAGATTGGGTCTTGGTTTAATTGCTGGTCTTTTATTCCTTTTTTTTCTTTCTATTGCGTACAGTGCTCAAGATAAAAAACAAGATTAGTAAAAAAGGAAGAATAAAGAAACATCTGAATAACTTTTATCTAATGATTCGATTTTTCAGTACTAGGAAACAATCATCAATGTTTGAGAAATTTATTATCCATCAAGTCAAATTATTATCAATAAAAGCGTTTTTGTGAGAAGATTGGGTCTTGGTTTAATTACTGGTCTTTCCTTTCTTTTTTTTCTTCTTTCTATTGTGTACAGTGCTCAAGATAAAACACAAGATTAGTAAAAAAATATCTGAATAACTTTTAATCTAATGATTCAATTTTCAAGTACTAAGATGCAATCCTCATTGTTGAGAAATTTACCTATGAAATATGCTAATTATTTAGTTCTGACTATAAGCTACAAAAACAAATCAAAGGCACACTTTTTCTAAATAATCATTTTTTTTTTCTCTTTGGAATTCGAATTTTGGACCACCAAAACGTGAGGGGTAACCATAATTTCAAAAATATGGTATTGATTGTTGAGTCAGAAGAACAGACAAAAATTTTAACTCTCTTTATATTAATTTTACTTTTTGTGCATTTTGCATGAATCAAAAAAAAAAAAATGTTTGAACACTATTAGTAAAGAATTTTTTTTTCAATAAATATTTTTTAAAGAATTTTTTTTTTCATTTAAAATTTTTTAAGTACACAAATTTTTACATTTCAAACTAAATTTCAAGTTAGAAAATCCAAAATTTGAAAAAATCAGTTTTTCAACCATGAAAATTTTAAAAACTAGATTTTTTTTTTATAATTTAATTGCTCTGTAAATTTTTAACAAATTTCAATGAAATTTCGACTTAATACCACTTTTGATGAATTCCCTCTTATAAATTTCATAGTTTATAATGAGGTAAACATTTGTATGCAATTCGTAAACTCTTTTGATTATTACTAAGTTCAACAGTAAGAAATAACAAATAATTAATAAAAATGACATTTTTTACAGCGAGAGTTATGGAATGGATAACGTTTTATAATTATGTGCACATTTTCATTTATGTTTAATGTTATACTTTTTACCATGAGGTACACAAAAATTAACATCACCCTATTTTCCGTCAAATATTAGATGCTGTCCATAAAAAAAGTATTTTTATTCATAGAAAGTACGCATTTGGTTCTGATTTCATAATTTAAACTATCGTTTGCTCAAATATAATATTTAAGGTATTATTAAAATTGCATCTGATTAGTGTGTGAATTTATTCACGTGTTTTGTTCCTCATTTTGTGCACTAAATACTTCGATTTAGTGTGTAATCAAGCAGCTTAAGAAAATTTAATACTGTTAAAATTTCACCTTGAGTTTAGAGAGCAATGTTATTGCAAATTTTTACCTTTGAACTAACTCAAAATAACTGTGGAGACTATCGATGTTCTCCCTATTTTTTTTTTTCCTGGCTTGTAAGAAAACGAAAGTAGTAAGTTTACTAAAACACATTTTGGATTTAAAATAAGTGAAAAAAAAATAAAATAAATTACTTAAACCTTACATTAACTTCATATAAGCCATAACAGTAGATAAATGTTTAATATAAGCATTTTGTAGCAAAAAAAAATTTATTTGTCGGTTTATTTTCAAAATTTTATATTCGCTCGAAAGATTAATTTTTAAAAGTTCATGCAATTATAGTGAAAAAGATGTTAGTTTTTTTTCCAGAAAAATTAATGCCTAAGATCTTTTTTTTCTTTTTTGTAAGAAAGCTTTGATAAGCCATAAATGACACCAGAAAACTTTTTTTTACTTTCCTCTGTACGCTTCCCCCTTCTTTTTGAGAGAAAAATGAGGATGATTTAAAGGAGATAATTGAATTTCTTCTATAGAGGCATTGTTTCCGCTTTTTTTTTCTTCTGTTGAATCGAAAAAGTAAACAGCACCATATTTCCCTTCAAAAATCGGATGCCATCGATAAAAAGAAACTCTTATTTATAAAAAGTACGCTTTTTGTTCTGGTTTAACAATTTAAACAATCGTTTGCTCAAATAGAATATATTTGCTTACATGGAATTTCTTCAAATTATTAAAATTACATATTAGTCTGTAGATTATTCAACGTAAGTTATTTATGTGTTTCGTTTTTTATTTAATTATTTCCAGACAATCGTGCTAATAGTTTAGGTAAGTTATAAGGATTTTACATACAAAAAGTACATAATTTATTTTTTATTTTTTTTTACGTTTAATGGAGTGAGACAATTCACGAGTCAATGGAATGAATAATTCAAAGATTGCAAGTATTTGCATGTATAAAAAGTACTACTTTTGACGTGTACTTACGTACACTCGTTACTTCGCTGTCTAGATGCTATCTGATGACAAGAGGTACATTTTCAAAGTAATTTTTCATGCTGATTTGAAATAAAACTCGAGTCACTAGCCTAAATAGTTTTAAAACTTATATGGGGTTTCGTCATAATAAGTACTATTCAGAAACAATGTTTTTTATATGATAGAAACCTATTACAACTTTTAAAATGGTAGCCCTTTTAACTCGTAATTGGTCTCATTCCATCAAGCAACAAAAAAAAAATTTGATGGAAAACAATAGTTTACTTTATATAAGATGCATAAATAAGTGCAGGTACAAAATAGTATTTTTTGTGCGCAAAACACTTATTACATCTTAATTATCTTTTCGACTTCTTTCTTCTTTTCAAATTTATCAGATGTATCTAAAGTATGCTTACATTTTTTATCAGAATTAAGCCAAGTTTTCGAGTTTGACAATTAGCGAAGTGTACAGTTAGTAAAGCAAAGTGTACAGTTTTTAAATTATTTACAATTTTTTTTCTTTTGTGGACTTCTAACGCTTTACAAGCTATCTCTCGCCAACCAACGGAATCGTCTACGAAGTTCATTTCAGTAGCATACGTGGACTTGGGTGCACCCGCCTGCAAGAATGTGCTCACGTTCTTGCAGGCTTCTATTGAAAATATTGTATTAAGTCTAAGATGGGGCGCCCCTTCTTAGACTTAATACAATATTTTTTCATTATAATATAAGACAAGAACACTATGAATAGACATTCGGAATTTATAAATTATTCATTTTATTTTAATATTAATCAATAAGGAATTAATAATTGGATGAAAATGTGGAACTTAAAAAAAAAAAGTTCTAAATTTGAACATTGTTTGCTGACTAGCAGCATTGAAATTAAATTAATTTTAATAAAACGAGAAAAGAACTCACTATCTTACAATAATTACATTCAAAGTTTAGTTAAGGAGTATTTTTATTTGTAGAGTGAATTTAAGAAAAGTCTTAAAAAAATATTTTATTGAAATTTATACAGTGAGATACCAAACACAACCTTTTTGAATGAAGGGCTCTGTACTCAAGTATTTAGATATGTTGAAGGCAATTATGATAATTTTAATGTAAACATCAGTGTTTTAGGCTCTTTTATTTTTATCAGTCAACTGAGTAATATATTTGCATAAAATGAAATTCTTTTAAACAATTATTATTTTTTTTATTATCTTGATTCTATTAATTAATTCTATTTTTTTCTTTTTTAACAGCCAACTTAGAATTATATTTGCATAAAAGTAGATTCTTTTAAATAATCATAATTAATTCAAAACTGAAGAAAACCAAACGGATACTTTTCAAAATAAAAATATTTCCTTTTTATCGAAAAAAACATAAAGATGGGGAAAAAAGGATGGCATCACGTAACAGAAAAGTGTAAATTAAAATAAATTAATTGTAATTGAATGAAAATAAAAAAAAATTAAAAAAACATTTTATTGAGCTACATAAATTCAAATTAAATATTTTTATGCAGGAAATTGCATGGGGTCTAAAATTATTTAAAATAGAACTAACTCATTATAGCTCAAAATATGATTCAGGGGGGCTGGGGATTAAGTTAAGTATATTTTTAAACTCAAAAAAATAAGAATAAAGAAATCGTAAGTTATTATAATATTGGATTTAAAATAAATCCCCGTGAAAAAATCCTAACAACACTGCAAGAACTATTAAAAGAAGAAAAAAAACTCTTAAATTTGCGATGAAATCGTCACATTAAAATGTACGATTAGAGTGTCAAATTAATATGTATTTAAAATATCATTATTTTCAAAACCAATGTGGGGAGAAAAAAAACAATACAAAAGTAGTTTGGAATTAGATAAAATTGACGCAAATTAGGCACTTCAAATGTGATTTCTATTTGCACGATTCAAACGTAGCGGTTATAATATCGTTATAATATCGCATTAAAAAGATCGGGATTTTAAGAAAAACGTGAAATACGATAATAAACTCGGAAAACAAAATCGAAAGTCACTTGGATTAACCATGAAATGGACTCAAATAAAGAGCTTCAAAAGTGACAGTAAAGTTCGAAATTTACGCATCACAATTTTGTCGTATATATATCTGGGATTTTAAATCTTAGGAAAGTCATAGTGATAACCACCGAAAAAAACGACTGGAAAACTACATTGAATTGTAGATTTGGCGAGTCAAAAACTTAAATGCACAATTCAAAATTACCAATCCCCCCCCTCCCAAAAAAAACATTTAAATAAATAAATATATATATATTAGTTTTTTTTCATTAAGTTCAGTTACTACCTCGGGCCGCACATCAAGAGCTGACGGGCCGAAGCAACACACCCCTCCCCTTCCCCCAACGGCCACGGGGGTGTAATTTACGCCACAGGTTCATTTAATATCGCTTTGGCTCTTTCCAGGGATTTTTCAGCATTCATTTTGCTTGATCTCTTAGCTCTTATACTCAATCACTTTTACTTCTATAATAATATAGAGTTTGTGTGTCTGTGTCAAGTCTAAAATCGTTTGGCGATCATCCTGAAATTTTAAAGAGTGGGAAATTTTGGACTCCAATCCTAAAGATTGTTCTAATATTTCAATTAGATCGTCATCTCAAAAATGTAATT